ACCTATACGTTGCAATACACATATATAAGCGGCGTGCAGCTGGACACCCATACGTTGAGCGCGAACCGCCGATTGGTTACCTTCAGGGGGGGGGGTCGGGCGGATTCCCTGGCAGGGGTCGGGAATAACGGCCAGGCGGGTTCCCCGACAGGGGTTAAGAATTGAGAGACTAACATCGCTTCTCTGGCGATCCGAACCGCTGCGCCGCAGGGAAAGTTAGCCAAACGCCTCAAGTCTCTTTCCCTATCCTCTTCCTTATCTCACCCGCACCTCCCTCCCGCCTCCTCCCCCCCCCTCTGCCCCCCTCCCCCTCGCCCCCCCCCCCCCCCCCCCCACCCCCACCCCCACCCCACCCCCCCCCACCCCCACCCCCCCCCCCCCCCCCCCACCCCACCCCACCCACCCCCCCCCACCCCACCCCCACCCACCCACCCCACCCCCACCCACCCCACCCCACCCCACCCCACCCCCCACCCCCCACACACACACACACACACACACACACACACACACACACACACACACACACACACACACACACACACACACACACACACACACACACACACACACACACACACACACACCACACACACACACACACACACACACACGCACACACACACACACACACACACACACACACACACACACACACACACACACACACACACACACCACCACCACCCCACCCCCTGCCCTCCGCAGCCTGCTGCTGCTTATGTTACCACTAGTCCGTTCCCCTTCCCCCCTCAAGGCGCGCACTGGGAGGCAACTAACCCTCGCTCTGGCTCCTCGTTTTCGGCCTCATGCGCGGCGACGGCCTCCTGGAGCGCCACCGCCCCGTTGATGGCCCTTGTGTTGTCGTCAGACTCTGCGGTCCCCGTCCAGGTCTTAAAGGTCGTTCGGAAAAGTGCGGAGGCTCTTGACCCTGGAGCGGAGGCTCTTGTTTTTCAGTTTCTCTGTCTTCAGCTGCAGGGCCAGGCGGCACCAACGCTTCCGAACATGTGGCCCAACGGCCGCGGGGGGAATCGCATCGCGACGAGCCATCTCTGGAAAGATATCTCAATATCCCCGAACCCAAAGTCTCGCGGTGAGATGGCTGCGGAAAGGGGGAGAGGTTGATGTAGCGTTTCAGCAGCATGGGCATTCAGTTCGGCAGCAGCACATAGGAGGCTCGGGCGTTAAGCCTTTGGGTGCATACACTGGGAAGCACTGTGTGTTCACGCCCACGCCCCGAGCCTACACATCAGCCATGTTACCGTATGGGGCACCATTTTGACGCGAGTCCCCCAACACGAATGCTAAGATGGTCGAGGCAAACGCTTCCCACATACGAGTGCACACCTAGCCTTGCAGTGCTTTGCGGCGCCCAAGCATGCAACGTGCCGCCATGTTGTAATATGGCATTGTGTTTGTTGCCCTGCTTTGCTAACCATGTGCGTCCCATGGCTTAGAGCACGTGCTATATGAGGCTGCGTTCAAGGATATTCTGGACCATTGGGGGGGCCTCTAGTGGTCGTCGGGGGGGTGGCAGCCGCGCAAACGATCATACACCCAGGCAGATGGCCCCACGTATAAACCAATCGGGCCAGCCCAGGGCCTTCGGAGCCCTTTTAAGTCTAAATCGACCGCCATACAACCGACACGTTTGCCTATCGGCCAACAGCCGACCGCCATTCGACCGCAAGCCGATCGCGCGTTTAGGACTTGCACAACGCAAACTGCGCAGGCGCCCATAACAGCACCACGCGCGGCGCAAATGCCAGAGACATCCTCGGACCCAAAGACCCAGAGACCTCGCAGGCCCCAGAGGCCCAAGAGACGCCCAGAGACCCCAAAGACACAATCTACTGATCCGCCTCCCATCTAGCGGGACTCAAGCGCACGCACGCCCCGTACCTCATCGAACTCACCAGGAAGGCCAGCACGGCCCCTCAGCAGTTGGAGTCCCAAGGAGACCCCCTTGGTACCCTGAGGCCCACTCCCCCATGGACAGTTAACGAGAAATCGCGTGGCAAGTGTGCTTGGGGAGTGTTGGAGTTGCCCCCGTGGTCGTGCTGAAATCGTGCTGAAATCGCTTTGGTGGGGCCCTGCCCCTCCCTCCCCCGCCCCGATCTCCCCCCGTCCCCATTCTAGCCCCCTCCCCCAACCCCCCCAGGCACACCCCTCTACTTGGCAGCCCCCCCCTCCTCAGGTTGGTTCTACACCTTGCCCCCGCCAGGCGTGCCAACAGCGAAGCTGAGCCGTAACGGGGTCAGCGAAGCTGAATCGGATGAGAAGGACACGTCAGCGAAGCTGTGTATGTGCACACAAAAAAGTACTGGCATGTGTCAATCTTTCTATGGGAGCTCACGCGGCTCCTCTGCATCCTCCCCAGGCCGCCTGGGCCTCTCCTTCGAAAGAAGAAGGGCTCCGTTCGGCAGCCCGCGCAGAACCTCCCTGGCGTCGCCCCTCTGCTGCCACGAGACAGCGAAATCCGCCCTGTGCGAGCGATTGTCCAGATAATCGCCCCTGGCGCCAGCCAGCAGCCACGCAGCCAAAAAAAAAAAAGGCCTCCCCTGCGCTGGGCGCACAGCATTAGCAGACGACGTCTTGTGCCTCTTGCACTGACCTGACTTGCCGTGCCCAGCGGCGCGGCAATTAGCGACAAAGTCGTGGCTCGATCGATACCAAGTCAGCGTGCCAGACCCAATGTCGACAATGATGGACCTCGGCTCTGGCAGCTCAACTGGAAGCGGTGGCGGGGGAGGCGGGTCCTCTGGCACGGCAGCTGGCGCGCCTGAGCTCGATGCTGCCCCAGGCCGAAGCACAGCTCCAGCAGGTAGAGCCGCATCTCGATCATGGTCGAGCCCGGGCCCCTCAAGCTGGAGCGCATCTGCGACGACAAGTGCATCGATTATGTCGCCGACAGAGCTGGCATCGCTGTCCCCACCAGGCTCGTACGCCAGCACCTCCGACGGAAAGTCAACAGGGACATCCAGACCACCGAATTCAGGCGGCACATCGCTGCCCAACCCAGAATCAGCCACGTCACAATATGCAAACAGGTCGCCTGAGTCAGCATCTTCGAACGAGCCCTCGACACCGCCCCCGTCATGGATGGCAAGCGGGCCCTCGACCTCAGGCTCGTGATCCGAGACATCTGCATCCTCAGCCCAGCTGGCTAGCATGCCACTCGGCATCCGACCAGCACGCATGCGAGGCTTCGGGCACCAGGGGTTCCACACCAGAATTGAGAAGATAAGCCGTCAGGCAAGAACCCGCCCGTCCCAGACGCCGAAAAGACTGTCGAATATAATGCACAGGCCCACATCAAATCAAAGCCAACTGAATAAACCAGCTCCCATATCGTAAGGAAGTTGCGGGTACCTTGCAAGCTGACGAGGGGAGGCAACGGCACAGATGCATCCACGATAACAGGACCGATCACCTCATGGAATATTGATCTCCAGGGGTTCAGCGAATGATGGCCGACGTGTAGGAAGCGAACTGCCTGGATTGGTGCATCTGGGACTAAGCTGTCGTCCCATGCCTGGCTCCTGTCATACCCCATTTGGCTTGGACTGCCCGATCAGCAAGATGACAACTTCGGCGTTGACGAGCTTCTCGCGCAAAGTTGACTTAGGAGGGCATTGTCGTTTGATGGGCTGCTCAAACTTCGATTGGAAAGGTTTCATGACCTTACCATGCACGCCGCACAAGCACATGCCTGCCTCCGCGCAGTCGGTCAAGGTGCCATGGCCAGCCCCTACGAAGATCGGGGTGCTCTTGAAATCGATCGCCTGGTGCAGTTGGGCCCACGTGTCCAGCAACGCCCTGGCCAATCGCGCAGGAGCCCCCCGCATCGGCAATGAAAGAGCGCGCTGTACCCTCAGCGACAGATCCCCCGAACTCCAGCGAAGGATGCCACCCGCAGCATCTGCATGAGAAACGGACGCAAAACCAGCGGCGCGCAAGCCGATCTCGGGCGCAAGCAGAGACAAATGCTTGACCGTATCAGCGCCACTCCTGATGCGTGCCACTCGGTCTCCGTCGGCTCTGCGATCTGCGAGTCTCCGAGCATCCGATGCCAGCCTCAAGTTTGACCTCAACTGAATCAATTGTCCCAAGACCGCTGATTTGGTAGCTCATGAAGGCCGCCATCAAGACGGGGTGGCACGTGAGTGAAAGCAACGAGCTCTGAACCGACAACGTCAGGTATGCTACCACAGTGACGCTTTGCATGCGCCAGCCTCTGTACTGCAAGGTCTCGATCCCTCTTCCCTTGCTTCCGCCGCTCGTCCCGAGGTTTCTCACCGAAGGTGGAGGAGCTGCGCCCCGCCGCTCGACGGGCAGTTCCTTCCCTGCCAAGCTCAGTGAGACGACGCCGCTCCTCGTCGCCAAGCGCACGGCACTGCTCAGACAATTGCGCAATGTTCCCGAACTTGCGGGTGTCAACCGTCTGCTCCCGAATGAATATCCTCCAAGCTCCGCCATTGCAAGCGCGGCGCTTCTTGGTCGGCTTCACCTGCTCGTCCGACGATCGAGCAGGAACTGTGCTGGATGTGTCTGCACAGTCTCGGCGTTGCCGCTTGTACTCTGCAAACAACTGCCGAAACTCCTTGCAAGTCCTCCTCGCCGACATGTGAGCGAACAAAACAGCGTGAGTCTGAACAGAACGTTGCTGCAAAACTCTCCGGGTCGCAGCATGCTTGGCCTCGACGCGAATCGTCTCCCTCTGTAGCAGCTCCGAGCTGGCGGAAATCTCGGCCAAGCAAGCTGGGGTCAGCAGCCCAAGCTCTCTGACTCCGAATACGTATCCACGATCGCTGCGCTCCAGGGGCCAATCATGCGCTTGCAATCCGACGCTACCTTCGGCGAGCACGCCAGCGCGCCGATCAGGGCGCAACAGTAAGAACAAATTCCAAGCCTACTGGCGGTGAGCAACACTGAGCCCATGATTCTCACAACCCAACATGGAGAGCATCGTAAAAGCACGCGCCCGATAAGAATAGGTCCTGCACGGCGCTGGCATGATATGCCACTGGGCAGGGTTCACCATCAAGTCTGCGATCTCATCGAAGCACTGCCGCTCGAACTTGTTCTCCGCCGCCAGCAAGGCGTGACGCCCGTCAGCCGAGTCAACTCCAGGAACGCCGAAAAGCTTTCTCCGCTCCTCGACCTTGTCCTGAAGTTCCAAACCAGCACGCAAGTAGTTATCCATGATATTCGTCAGAGGCGCAATCACCTTCGATATCATGATGAAAGTACCGAGGGCGTAGCCATCATTATCCCGCAACCACTTGCCGCCGAGATAGCGGTGCTTCGACTGATCCTTCCTCTTGGCATCACTCGGGTCGGCGCCTGCAGCTGCGCCAAGGTCGGGCTGGCCATCGCGCCCGTCACCGCCGCCGCCACAGGCGGCAGGAACGGCATCGTCGTCCGACCCGTCGCCACGAAACTTGGGATGCCCAGCCGACGAAGGAGATGGAGCAATACCAGACCACTGAAGAAACGCAGTGGTGAGCAAGCCGTGAACGCTCTCCATGAGCCCCAGCCACGACACCGACTCGCCTGCGCCAACCCACCGCTTCGACGGCCAAGGCTTAGGAGCGTCAGAAGCCAAAGCACTAGCAAACATACCAGATATTGTTCTCCTGCAGTCAGCCTCACTCTTGCAGCAACCGTTGCAATGATGTGCGATGCGGCCCCTGTCGCTCCAATCGCCGCTGGCAAACGCCAACAGCAAGACTCACCTTAGCAGGTGGGTTGGAGACTTCCGTGCCCAAAAAACGTCGAGGAGGCTGATGTTGCGAAGCACTTGTGCGGGTTGAGGGCGGACGTCGGGCACGTAGTGCAGCATGCCGTCGATGGTGCGTCGCAGAACCTTGCGGAACCACCTCATGGCATCACCACCGTTCAAAGCATTTGCGATGCGTCGCATGCGATTCACCACGTGGCCTATCTGGTCAAACACATCCTCATGCCAGCGGTACACGCGATGGACTTCGCACTTGGTCTTGAGAACCACCCATCTTCTGTCATTGGCCGCCACTGCGCGCTCTGCCCCGTCGACGGCAGCGTCGGCGCCTGTGCAGACGCACCGCTGCCGACGCCGAAATGCCGACAGAACGTCCTCTGGGAGTTCAGCAGCAACGTCATTTGCAGCCAATGTTTGAAAGTAGTTCTCGCCCTTGCCTTCGGATATACACAGGAGCCAACATGGAATCGGACATCGGACGAGCAAGAACTGCCCATTGGCAAGTTGGAGCAACACATTCTCTGACCTGAGTGTCTGAACGATCTTGGCCACGTGGGAAGAGACACACGATGATTATTGTGCTGACAGGATCATGGTCTGCGACCTCCAGCTGAAGATCTCCAGCGGCGGGCCCTGGCTTCTCTGGGTCGACACATCTGGTTATCATTGGAGTTTCGTCGTACCTGAGCCCACTATAATAGCAGATCGCCGCGCCTCCAGATGCAACGACGCCTCGGACAAATCCAGTCGCCATTCGAACAAAATCCCGCCGATGCATCAATACACTCGAGGACGCCGCGCAGTGGAAGGGGCGCCTGGGCAGCTCGGAGGTCGAGGCCGAGCGATTCAGCCTCGGCACGAAAGCCAGCCTGGCGATGCGAACTGGTCTGGGCGTAGCGCCGCAGTGCCAGGACGCGCTTCGGGTCGGGACGCAGCTGGCCCGCATGGGCCTCGGATAAGGCAACGTCAAACAATGCGCTTGTTGAAGGGGGGGGCCCAGGCCCCGGAACCTTCCCAGCAACAAACCCCCACGGATATTGCCCATGCAATGGTTTCGAGAGCTCACGTAGGCCCAATAGGGCCGCGAAGCTAGACCCACATGGTGCCCGAGGAATTTCGGGAATGAATGGGCACGACAAACAACATTGAGAGACGCAGCCTGAACGATGGCAGCCATCATCTCGAGGGACCCCGCCAAGGCGTGGCACTCGGGCTCTGGCGGTGGCACACCAGGCTCGACAGCGACGACCGCCTCAGCGAGGTCGCCCTCGCCCTCGGCGCCCTCGTCGCGGACACCCAGGTCCTCCAGAGCTACCAGCTCTGGCACGGCAGGGCGGCGATCGAGGCACGTCGCGAGCCGCCCGCGCACGCGGTGCCACAAGGCACTGAATCTAGGGCTCATGTCCAATCCGCGGCCGCGAATGTCAGGCGGTGCACGTGCGAGGGCAGGCCCAGCTGCTACGACTTCGCGATGCGAGTCCCCGTCGCGCAGTGGCTCCCCGTCGTTGCTGGGCCCATCAGAGGCCCAACCCGACAAGTCGGCGACCTCGGGCTCACCAAAAGACGCGAGCCCCCTCTCACCAGCGCCACTGCCGCTGGCCACATCGCCACCCCAGGGCGCGAGACACTCGCCTCCAGAAGCGCCGCCAGAAACATCCATGCAACGCTTCGCTGCATGAAGGAAAAAGAACACACAACACTGCACTCGCCATCTGCAGCAGAGCCTAAACAGCGACGGAAAATGCGCTTAACCATTCGGAACGATGGCTCCAAGCTGGCTGACAAGGCTCAAACCCAGAACGCGCCCAGCCTCGCACGGGAAATATAGGGACAGGCTTTGCACGCCCCCCCCCCCCCCCCCCCCTACCCTCCTCACCTTCCCCCCTTCATCCTCCTACCCTCTCCCACGTATATTGCACCACATTGCCTGCACCGTCCACGCGAACTGCTCCGCGTCGCCAGCGGACGTGGTTCGCTGCACGCAGATTACACCACATAGCAAGCCCCCTCGGGCTACATTGCGGCTATGTATTCCTGAGGTTATGCGCATGGCCTACGAAACGGTTTGTAGTTGGGGGATATGCATGCGGGCATCTTACATTGGCTCCGCAAACGCACCGATACCTTGCGCAGGTATCACACTCGAAAATGTTGTGTTGCATGCATTTGGGCTTGTATCGCGGATCGTATATAACACCTATTCCGCGACTACTTTTGAGAAATCCAACATGGGGGCCTCATAGAGGGAGGCGCTTTTCATGAGGTTGCCCCGCGATTGGGTTGCCCAACCAGTCCGCAAGGTTGATCTCGTCGCGGCCAATGTAGATATCCTCGAAAAGCTCATCAGCATTATCTCTCGAAGGACACACTGGCGCTCAGATACATCGCGGCCGCGAAGTGGACAGCGGCAGCGGGGTCGCCGACGGGCTCGGCGATAACTGAATGCCAGAATCGGTTCGAGCCAAATGCATCGACGGACCCCTGCCTCTCCCATTGCTTCGGGGGCGCTCGCGACGAAAATGTTGTGTGCCATGGCAGATATCACATTCCATGGTTTTCCCGTTGGCGTCTTGCGGGTTGCACAGGCGTCCCTTGCATTCTCCTGCGGCGCGCCTACGGCCTCTACCTGTCCCCAGGAACATTTCTGCAGATTGCGGCCCCGTAAAGGGCACCAAGAATGCCAACACACCTCTGCCATGTAATCTCCGTCGTTCGCCTGCACCTGCACATTCACCTTTACCCGCTGACCTTAAAGCACGTGGGACCGCACGTCGTACCTGACGAACTGGTCTCCTCATCCAGCGTCTCCATCGGCGTTTGTGTTTCTGGAGTCCCAGGAATAACCACTGCGCCCGTTGCTCTTCGGCGAGACACACAGGCATGTCGGAATAGTCCGGGGCACCAGCCCCCTCAACCGATGAGGCGTCGGCGTCGGTTCCGGAGTCAAACTCGGACTCACCAGCTTGCCCCGCAGAGCCTACAAGGGCAGCGGCTTGGGCAGGGGCCGCCGGTGCTGGCGGCCACTGACAACGAGCCCAAGAGTCTTGCGACCCCGTAGGCTGGCCACCCTGTCGGCCCAGTAAAGTGGTGGCCTCAGTTGTTTGTGGATCGTCGTTCCAGACGTTGTTAGCAGGTTGCCCTGCACTAGTGTCTGTATGAAGGGCTTCGGCGCGATGACCTGGGCTAAATACACCACCAACGTTGACAGGGGTTCGTTCAGCAATGTGGGCAGAAGACCTCATGCGCCGGAGCAAAAAGTCAAACTGCTGCTGACTCATTGGAATTTGGCGCAGTGGCTGTAGTAGTTACCGTGCACGCGATGCACCGACACCCAGAGCTCTGAACAAGATAAGAACTAGGATCTGGAACTTGGGAATGTTGAAGCCTGCGGTCTCGGCCTCAAAGCGTGCTATCTCAAAGCGGGCGAACGCCTGGTCGATCCTCTCTCCCGCATGGACGCGAAAGTCGATGAGAGCCATTCCCGAGTTAAGTTGGCGCTCCTCCTGTAGATTTTCAAACTTCGCGCTGAGGAGGAACATGATGTAGGTGACGCCATCGGCGTGGCGACCACCAATATTCACGCCAAAGTCAATGACTGCGGGGGGTACTCTCATGACAATGATCCTTGCAAGCCCTCCCTGACCACGCTGTAGTGCCGCGGCCTGTTGGGAGTGGGTCATGGCGCCTGCGGCCACGTTGATCCAGGCGTGTACCTCGCGCACAGATTCGCGGAAAGGTACGTCACCGGCATAGCCCCACTGGGGGCCGGCAGCACGCGCGTCGTCTCCGGCACGCTGCACGCGCCCAACAGCACATCCGATAGCGACCCATAGGAGGCCAAATGCAGTAGTACCAATCCAATGGCCTCATAGGTCGCGGCAGGATGCTCGTGGCTGCGGTTAATGATGCGACGTCATCATTAGCCTGCGTGGGAGCGGAGGCGGCACAGCATCGCATCGCACGTTGCCATGCATCGCGTCTTCGAAGAAATTTTAAATTGGGGTAGGAGGGTGGATTTCGGGAGTGTAGTAGCGCAGAAAGGTAGGACTCATGTAAGAGACCTCCGAGTGAACGGAGGTAGTACTGTAAGTGTCCTTGCGGTTGTGCGTAGCTATGTTCATTCCCCCGCGCAGACCCACTGCACCCTGATGTTCCACCATGTCAGTAGTCCACCACATAGTGCCGTGGATGGTGAAGAGTAGAGCCAGAGCTGACCACCATAGGCAAGCTCCGCTACCAAGATGGGGGCTGGGAGGCCCAACCATACGCTTCGACTAAGGCGAAGCCCATATCCATCTCTGTTGTACCGTAGTAACGATAATCCCAAGAGTAGGAGTGAGTCGCGGGAGCGACGAGACATGTCAAGCGAAAATGTTTTCGGTTTCAATGGAATTTCAATGGCAAATAGCGCGCCTCGCAATGAGGCGCAGTCTCATCTTGGCGGCCGGCCGCTTTAGCACAAACGGCCGCGGACAAACGCTGGCTATCTCTCGCCTTTGCCCCAGCCTCCTTTAGAGTGGTAGGGTCGGAATAAGTGGGTCGCCAAAGTCGCCCCGACTCGCCGGCGCATCGTTCCCCCGACACCGTTAACTCCGACCCGTCTCGGGGGCTATCCGAGGACGCGACCGGTGCTTCTCTTTCAGCCGGTCGCCGGCGCTCGCCTGCGGGCGCCTGGTCGACCTGGCGAGCGACGCGGCCCAGTCCACGCGCAAGCTGGCCGCGGACGAGCGCGGGGTGGCAGGGGCGGACGGGGGGAGGGGAGGCTTCGGAGGAGCGGGCCCCCCTGGATCTCCCGTCGCCCCTCCCCCCCTGCTCGCCAGGCCTCCCGGGTTTCCCGCAGGCCGCCGCCCAGAGCCAATTCGGAATCGGGGCGGTACTCACAACTGCACAGGGCCGGGCCCTTCGCCAGGCCAACTTTTGTTGACTTGCCCCCCGGCCCTCTGAGAAGTCCGAGTCTGTCCCCCTCCCTGGGCTGAGTCACACGGGGACATCGCCCCCCCCCCCGGGCTGCTCCTGGAGCGCGCTCCGACCAGAAGCAAGGGGCCGGGCGACGGGAGGCCCCCTGGAGGACAAAAAAGCCTCCATCCGCGAAGCTCGACGCCCTGTTCGAAGCGCGACCCCCGCTCAAAATCGGAGCCCGAAGACTGCGTCTCCTCCGTGAACCCGAGCACTCAAGAGCAAAACCCCCCTCGGACCTCGAAGTTCCCGAAGACCCGACGCATCTTAGAGAACCTCCGCTGGAGCCCTTGGCCTCATCTCTCTGTTCCATGTCGAGCGGCGCCAGGATATCGCGGTTACGCGAAGCCGAACCTCCGAGGTCACCAAGACGTGGACCCTGGAAACCTCGACCCACTCCCCAGGACTGAATTGTCACCCCGAGTTGATTTTTGACCGTCACGGAGGCCATGGAAAGGCCGCAGAGCCGAAAGTGAAAAACCGCATCCCGTCGTGATATCTTCACGGCGCAAGGGGGCATGCGACAACGACGCCGACGACGACGATGATATGAATAATACGAATATGAAGAACAATCATAAGAATAGTCGTCATAATCAAATCATTCATGGTTGTGCGACTGATGCAAAACGGTACTAATGATAGTAGCGATAAGTTGGGAGTGATGATACAATCAGTACTCACATAACTAGCAATACAATTACTCAAAATTGGAACAAGCACGACAGTCACAACAATAATTATGAGTATTAAAACTGACACACACACATATATATAATGTATGTATAACAACACGGCTGATGATGATGATGAGGATGGTGACGGCGATGGTGATGATGATGACGAGAACGACGACGACGATGATGGTGGCGGCGATGACGATGACTTTGATGATGATGATGATGGTGATGGCGATGGTGACGATAGTGATGATGATAACGTTCCTGACGATGATGGTGGTGGTGGTAATGGTGATGAAGTCGATGATGTTGGTAATGATGGTAATGGTTGGGTGATGATGATGGTGATGACGATTTTATCATCACACACATCGGCGTCTGGAAGTGTCACGAAGCCAAATGAACTGGCGCGTAAGACATCAAAAAAAACAGCAGTGGACCCCTCGAAAAAATCATCCAGCTCGCGTAGAGCACATGCGCCAGGCCCGGAGCCGTGGCGGAGGTGAGGCGGAGAGAAACGCTGATGCACTAAAACGCGCGGGCAGGAAGGCGTGGCACGGCAAAAAGTTAGGCGACGGGCGTCGGCGCCATTCGGGGGCCATCACGTGCAAGCACGAACCATCAAGCAAACGTCGCGAAGAAAGAAGGGACACAAGACGAGAGGATCATCATCGCATTCATTCGCCCCCAAGCTGGGCACGATGATCCTTCCCGCGCGCGCTCGCGCAAAACCGGGCATACGACGACTGGACAAAGCCCCGGCGGAAGATGGATCTCTCGCGCCACGCACCGCTTCCGCCGCCGCACGGGGAAGCCCCAGAGGCGGGCGGCGCCTCCGACTCGCCCGCCCCAAGCGCTCAAGCGCTCAAGCGAGAGGCGAAAAATCGTCTCGATAGGGGCCGCTTTTTTTCTGCGGAGCCCTCTAGCCGAGTCCTGGAAATTCGGCCGCCTCGTGGTCCGCAGCTTCGTCATTAAAGTCTGAATCGCAACGAAGTGTGGCCTGCGCGGGGCTCGGTTCGCGCATGGGCGGACGTCGAGCGCGCGGCTCCTGCACGCAATCACTGGCACCGCTGATGACGGCTGGCGCGTGCCGCGGCGCATCCTGCGCAAGAGGCCGAGGTGGATGGGGAGCTAGCCCGCACGAAACGGACGGGTCTAGGATAGCAGCTCGGCTCAGCAGGCATCGCGGCGCAGGCTACTTGCTCGGGGCGCCGAGGCACGCGCTGTGCCCCTCCTCGAGCCAGCCAGGGGGCATCACCCCCGCGTGGACCACAGCCACCCCCTCGGCGCGCAGGGCGCGAAGAAACAAGTCCCTCTGCGGGACGGTCTTCATCGCAATCAGGATATTCACGTTGTTCTCGTCGCGGCACTTCTCCGAGCGCACCGTCTGGACGTGGCTCTCCAGGTCGAGTTTGCTGACGCTGGGCTGCTCCATCTCGTCCTCGTCGCCGTTGGCCGCCTTGAGCCACTGGTTCAGCTCGCCTTTGATTGCTCCGCCCACGTCGCAAGTTGCGAGCGCCTCCACCAATGCCACCAGCAGGGAGGCTGTGGGAGACCCGAGTGTCTCGAGGCCCTCTTTGTCGTCTTGCCGTGAGCGCTCGACCTCGTTGCGGAACACCTCCAGCGTGTCGCTGACGGCCAACATGGCCTTATGCTTCATGGGAAGCGCCACTGCGTCGACCGTGCACGCCAGTGCGAGGCGGCCGCGATTCGCCGTCTGGAGCAGCATTTTGCCCATCACCAGGAGCATGGCGTGCAAGTGCTTGTCCTTCGAGGCCCACGTCTCGCTGCGCTGCCCTCGGCGGCGGCGCCCGCCGCGCTTGCGACGAAGCGGGCGCTGGCCCGCGCCGTCCTCCTGGCCATCTGGGGCGTCGGCAGGGGCCCTGGGAGCGTCTGCGCCCGTGGTCTTCGCCTTCTGCGCGGCGTCGGCGGGCGGCGGCTGCGCTGCCACAATGACCAGACGCTGTCGAGGACGCCACCGGGAGGCGCCACGAGGCCCTCTGCGGGCGGGCCGCTGCCGCCATCGTCGCCGTCGGGCGCTAGCACGGGCCAAGTCGGGGTGGCCGCGCTCGCGCCCTGGCCCCGCAAGGGGGGCCGAGGCTCGCCGGGCGGCGGCGGCGGCGCGGGCGCCGCGCGAGGCTGACGGGCCCGAGAGCGCGGCTCAGCAGCAGGTGCTGGCGGTATTGATTATTCTTCTTTCTTCTTTCACATCATGGGCGCCGATGTTTGAGCACGCATAGCTAGCCTTCAAACCTTGTAGCTCGTAGCATATACTGCACGTCGGGGCGATGTCCCTGCGTGATGCAGTGTCCGAGAGCCCCCACCTCTCGCGGTGGCCTCGTTGCTGACGGACGCGCGTGCGCCCCAGCCTGAGGCCCACGACCTCCGACGCGTGGGGGAGGTCGAGGGGCCAGTGAAAATGCTGGGTCTGAAAAAGAGAGAAACAGAGGCGGAGCTACGGCCCCAGCCACGCAAACCTGTCACCACTGCGCGAGAAGATTTCGAGGGTCTCCCAGGCCCCGCATGCTGAGCAGATTGATTCAGGCGTGCAGTCTAAAACTCCTGCTAATTCGCTCACCGAGAGATCCCCTGCTTCACGTACGTAGTCATACACTTGATCGGCTAAGGCACCAGCACTCTTGGAGTTATCCTCATCGTCGCTCTCGGGAATCTCATCGAAGAACTCGCATGTGTACTGACCACTTGCGCCCGAGGGAGGGCCGTTCCAGGAGATGGTCTTGTAGTTCGTCGTAGCAGCCTTGAACTCCTCGGTCGCCTTCGGGCCGTACAGCTGGTCGAAGGGGTCTTCCAGTTCAGGCCAGTCGACGAAGGCAGTCATCATCCTGCATTCGGGAACTTTGAAGTGCTCCCCCTTGATACCCTCGAACTTGTCCAATTTATCCAACTCGATCTCGTGTTCGAGGTGGTTCGTCTTAGAGTCGACGAATGGCTTCTCGGTGTCCCTGTTGCGCAGCTCGGTGACCTCCTCGGTGGTGTCCGCTTGGCGCAGCTCGGTGATCTCCTTGGTGGTGTCCACCTGGGGCTCCGCCAGCTTCTCCATCTCGATCTCGTTGTCGAAGTCAGCGAGTGGCTTCTCGGTGTCCCCTTGGAGCAGCTTGGAGCAGCTCATGATGATGATGATGATGATGATGATGATGATGATGATGATGATGATGATGATGGTGGTGGTGATGACGATGACGATGACGATGACAATGAAGATGACGATGACGATGACGATGACGATGACGATGACGATGACGATGACGATGACGATGACGATGACGATGACGATGGCGATGGCGATGACGATGACGATGACGATGACGATGACGATGACGATGACGATGACGATGACGATGACGATGACGATGACGATGACGATGACGATGATGATGATGCTGGTGATGATGATGATGATGATGATGATGATGATGATGATGATGATGATGATGATGATGATGATAATGATGGCGGCGGCGGCTGCGGCGGCCTTCCGGGCCACTCGCCGGGATGAACCCCACGTGCTCCGCGCCCGCGCATTCTGGCATGGCCGCCACCACGTCACAGCACTGCTCGATCGTCGCCAGCCCCGCGCAGTAGCTGCCAGTGCAGCTCCCGCCTGCAGGATACCAGGAAACGACGAGCTTCCCTGATCTCCAACACAAAGATTTCTGCGTTTGGAGGCCCTCGCCAGGCCACGGGATCATCAAAATCACTCGAGATGAAAAACTGGCCGCGGGGAAAGGGTTGGTACTTCCAGGGACCGCTATGGAAAAAGTCTGACATCGGACGTCTGGGTTGGAACTTCGAGGCTTTGGGGGCTTCTGAGGAGGCCTCTCGTCGCCACGGCTGGATCCGCCTCGAGTCTGGTCAGAATGCATCCCATGAAATTTCCGAGGAGCGATTTTCGACCTACTCCCTCAACAAGTCTACCCTCAAACGACCTTTCCTGGGCTGCGCTGCGACCAGAAACTATCGACGGGAATCCAGTCGTGGCCTCCAAAAAAGGAGCATCACTCAAGAAATGAAGGGAGGGAGGAAAGCCGAGTGAGCCAGTCTTGATAGTTTCGCCATAACGCGCATTCTACTGGCCCCGCCCTCCCCCTGGTCACGTCGCGATTGGCGCTGGAGCCGTCTGGACGCCAAGCTGTCCTCTGCCACTCCCAGGCGTTTGGCGCTGGCGCGAATCGTGACGTGACGGGCCCCTCTCCTCGGGCGGGTGGCAAGGGGGGATGGCCTGAACGGGGGGGGGCAGAACAGGGCCCTCGAGGAGCCCTTTTGGGCCCCTGCTGGCTCCACAAGAAGCCCTCAAGGACCCCTTTGGGGGCCCTTTTCTTCACCCCCCCCATGTGGGTCGTCCCCCTTTTACAACCCGTCATATTCTCCTCCCTCGGTGGGACGCAGAGGAACATGCTGGTACTCTGCGTCCTCCTCGAAGGCGTGCGTGCGTTCGACACGATCGTGCAGTACAAACCAAACTGCAGCATGCCACTTCCCGAGCGGCACGGCCAGAAAGCGCCCGCAACGGAGCTCATACTACAAGATTGAAGGGGAACCGGGACACACAAATAAATACAGAGAAACAAAAGGAACCCCCCATTTTCCCCTATTTTCTTGGTTTTTGTCTCCCCCCCACTTCCCATATTTTTCCAGATTTTCCTGGGAATCGACGAATAATTGTGTCTGTGTGTCTCTTTCCCTCCTGAAAGATTTCTCGGAGCGCGCGTGGCCGCGCGCGTCGCCCCGGGAGGGGCCACGCACACCTACTCGGAGGCTGGGGGCTCAAATCGCAGTGGAGCGGAGAGCACCCCCACTGGGAGATCGCTTTCGGCTTCGTGTTCGTGTCGTGCGCGTGGGCGAGGCGAAGATGCGTGGGCGCGCGAGAAGAATTATGCCGCCGTGGCTAGGGGCTGTGGAGCCGGCTGTCCGCCCCCCCCCCCCAGCGCCCAGTGGCCGGGGGTGTCCCGTCTGTGGCGCGGGGGTGCCCCGTCGGTGGCGCGGGGTGTCAATTCGGTGGCGGGGTGCCCCGCCGGTGGCGCGAGGGTGCCCCGTCGGTGGCGCGGGGCGCCCCGTCGGGGGCGTGGGGTGTCCCGACGGTGGCTCCAGGTGTCCCGCCGTGGTGTCTCGATGATAGCTCGTGAGGTCAGTTGTAAAATCGATAGTGAGATCGATTGCGTGATCGATCGTGATCGTGTGATCGATCGTTATATTCAGAGATCGATGGTGACATCGATAGTGAGATCGATAGCGAGATCGATCAAGACAGATCTTTGGCTGGGGGTGCCCCGCCGTGGCTGGGTGTGCCCCATCATGGTGTCCCGATGGTGTCTCGTGAAATCAGGTGTGAGGTCGATGGCGAGATCTCTTGTGAGATCGATATGTAGATCGCTCGTGAGATCGATTGTGAAATCGGTAGTGCGGTCGATATCGAGAGCGATAGTGAGATGAATAATAAGATCGATTGTGAAATTCGTTGTGAGCTCGATCGTGAGATCTGATGTGATGAGATCGACAGTGAGATCGATAGTGAGGTCTGTTGTGAGATCGACAGTGGGATCGATCATGTTCCGATGATGTTTCGATATTGCCCCGCTGGTGTCCCGATCATACTGAACAACACTCGAAGCGAGATCTCCAACGAAATCTGTTAAGAGGTCGATCATGAGATCTAAAGTAAGATATACTGCGAGGCCGATAGATCGATCGATAATGAGGTCGATTGTGAGCCCGATACTGAGATCGATGATGAGATCGATAGTGTAAACGGTAGTGAGACCAGTCGATTGGAGTCGAATGCGAGGTCGATTTTTTGTGGTGTGACCTCCATCGCGGCTGTGTCGCCTTCATTACAAACACCATGGATCATTCTCACCATGAGCGTCATCGTGCAATGTAGCCATCTCAACGCCATCACAGTCATCGCAGTTGTTGTCAGTGGGTTGCCCTTTCCCCTTCGAAACCTCCTTATCACCCGAAGGGTGATTGTATAAGTACTACGATGTCGGTGTGACGCCGACGCAGGGCCCGTCCAGCCTCTCGCATACGTCATCGACTGGGCGTCGCAATAGCCCGTGCCCACGGGGACAGCGGCGCACATGCCGCCTTCCGCCTCCTGCAGGGCACGCGCGGGCGCGGGAGAGGGGGGGGAATGAGCAGTGCTCCTCCTGCTCGAACCTCCTCCCTCCTTCCTCCTCCTGCTCAAACCTCCTCCCTCCTCCTCCTCCGGCTCCTCCTCCTCCTCCTCCTCCTCCTTCCTCCTCCTCCTCCTCCTCTCCTCCTCTCTCCTCCTCCTCCTCCTCTTCCTCTCCTCCTCCTCCTCCTCCTCCTCCTCCTCCTCCTCTTCCTCCTCCTCCTCCATTCCTCTTCCTTTCGAACAACTCCTCCCTGTCGCACCCCGGGGCCAGTCGGAAGGGCGGGCCGGGCGTTTTGCCTGAGACTTCCCTACCATTATGATCCGCAAGCTTTAAATCTGACAGCCGTCTCACAGATGGAGGGCGGGTCGCTTCCAAAATGTGTTTTTCGCTTTAACGCCGCGCACATTCGTTTCAAAAAAAATGCAGAAGTGCAAAAAGTGGTTATCGCCCTAGCGCTGCACATGTTCGCTTCCAAAACTGCAAGAGCGTTACGGATTGAGGGTGGGTCCCTTTCGAAACGTGGTGTTCGCCTTAGCGCCTCGCACATTCGTATTTCAAAATTGCAAACGTTCCAATGGTTCAGGGCGGCTCGTGTTCCAAATGTGGTTCTCGCCCTAGCGCTGCGCACAGCTTCGCTTCATAAACTCACAAAGCTTCACGGAGTGAAGGCAATTTCTTTTTCAAAACGTGGTTCTCGCCGTACCGCCGCGCGCAATTCGTCTAACCAAAATGTCAGAGTTTCACTGGTTGTCACGATTAGCGTACGAGGAGTAATGGCTTGGAACGATTCCCGATTGCCAGGGAACAACAGTTACGTTCATTCGCGGTGTCGACGTCCCAGGAATGGCGTTCTGGCACGATTCTGGATCGTCAAGCCGCAATAGTCAGATTGACTCGTGGCGTTGAAGTCATGAGGATGGTGCTTTGGCACACGGATGTTGTCCAACAGGGTACGTCGGTGTTTTTGACAGCCGTCTCACAGATGGAGGGCGGGTCGCTTCCAAAATGTGTTTTTCGCTTTAACGCCGCGCACATTCGTTTCAAAAAAAATGCAGAAGTGCAAAAAGTGGTTATCGCCCTAGCGCTGCACATGTTCGCTTCCAAAACTGCAAGAGCGTTACGGATTGAGGGTGGGTCCCTTTCGAAACGTGGTGTTCGCCTTAGCGCCTCGCACATTCGTATTTCAAAATTGCAAACGTTCCAATGGTTCAGGGCGGCTCGTGTTCCAAATGTGGTTCTCGCCCTAGCGCTGCGCACAGCTTCGCTTCAAAAACTCACAAAGCTTCACGGAGTGAAGGCAATTTCTTTTTCAAAACGTGGTTCTCGCCGTACCGCCGCGCGCAATTCGTCTAACCAAAATGTCAGAGTTTCACTGGTTGTCACGATTAGCGTACGAGGAGTAATGGCTTGGAACGATTCCCGATTGCCAGGGAACAACAGTTACGTTCATTCGCGGTGTCGACGTCCCAGGAATGGCGTTCTGGCACGATTCTGGATCGTCAAGCCGCAATAGTCAGATTGACTCGTGGCGTTGAAGTCATGAGGATGGTGCTTTGGCACACGGATGTTGTCCAACAGGGTACGTCGGTGTTTCTTTCAATGGACATGAACCCTTGTAGGGGCCTGTGAAGAAGGAGCGTGGAGGGAGGGGTATATTCCAACATCGTTGATGAGTCCAGGGTCAATTTGCTCCTCCTCCTCCTCCATCATCATCATCATCACCACCATCATCGTCATCATCATTAGCACCATCATCAGCAGCAACATCATCTTGGCAGCTCCTTCATGCCAGCAGTCAGGGCGTGAGGACGGGCCGCATCGGGCGACGCGAGACGCCACAGGAAACGCAGGACGGACAGAGAACACGAATTGCATGCCAAGGAGCATTTTTTCTTAAAAATAATAAATGGCGGGGATGGCTGGATGGCGCGCCTCGAGCACCCGAACGGGGGCGGAAATGCGCAAATGAAAACCGCGAAATAACAAATGTCATGGCCGCTCCTTTTACGCTGGCAGTCAGGATGCGAGGACGGACTGCATCGGGCGGCGCGAGACGCCACGTGCAGCGCAGGACGGAGAGAGAACATTAACTTCATACCAACTCTGCAGGCAAGCCTGCAAGCTGGTATCACCGAAAATCAGAAATGCCTCTGGACAGAGGCAGCGACTCTCGCAACGCGAGCGTTGACCCAGACGCCCGCGGCGCCAGCAGCACGGGCAAAACCTCCGTGCCCAGAGAACAACTCGAGCATCACGGGGGCCTTCTGGCCGGCCGCGGCAAACGAGAGGGCACCTCGAACACGGGCTGGCACAACCTCTCCACGCACGCGCCTCCATGCATGCCATTGGAGCTCGAGAGGAAGCCGGCGCAGGACCTCGGTGCGTCGGCTGCCCATCTCGCAACGGCGCACGCCCCTCCGCGTCCGCCATCGGCCGCGGCAGCGCATCTCTTCCGGTGTCCGGCAGGAAGCGGCCGAGTCGCGCGACGGTCCGGCGCGACGAAGCTCGTAGGTGGATCGCCCCGACGCGCTCGAGTCCGAGCGCGGCCGCCGCCCCCGCGAACTCCCCTGACACGTCGGCGGCGGAGGCGCGGAAGTGAGAGCCGGGCAAGCCGGCGGCCCCTCCCTCGCGAGCCACCGCCGTGGCCATCCAGCCCTCGCCCCAGCGGCGCGCCAGCATCCAGTCGAGACTTGCTGCCAGGCGCCAGCGACGAGGTTGGTCGAGCCGCGCGGCGTTGTCGAACTGCTCCGTCTTGGACACCTCGCCCACCTCGGAAGCGCGCAGGGCGAGGTCCGCGGCCATCAGCTCGTGGATCTCGCCTGGGCGGCCGTTGATCTCAAACGGCAGCCACGCCGCCAGGGCGGCCTCGAAAGACCGCTGGAGCAGCCGCCAGCTGACGACCAGGAAGACAACCTCGATAGGGAGGGCCTGCCGTCGCTTCGGCGGGGCCAAGCTCTTCCAGCCAGCCGCCGCCTGCTTCGCCCTCGGGAGGCGGAGCTGACCGCGGCGGCTGAACTCTGGCCGCGCCCAAGCGGTGCCGGCGATGAGGCGGTTGGCGTAGGTGGGGCGCCTCCCCTCGTTGAACATCATGCGCAGGTAGCCCACCGCCGCTGCGCCCACCTGCGCGGCTGCCCCAAGCGCCACGGACCGGCCCCTGGCCCAGGACGCGATCAGGTTGCACAGCACAAAATAAGCCTCCCTCCCGCGCGCGGTCCGCACCGCGGCCGCATGCAGCACCTCGACGCCCGCTGGCGGCTGGACCTCGGCGGCCCGCTCCTGTGGAGTCTAAGCCCGCCCCGCGGCCGCCCCCGGCCTGCGCTTCACGCCCTGCAGAGGGCCCGCCGCCGCGGCCGCGGCGCCCGGGCCCCCAAGGGGAGCTCGGCGGCCCTGCGAGACCAGGAGGTCCAGTCGCGAGGCTGTCGAGGTCGACGCAGGCTGGGCCCGCGGCGAGCGGCTCCGCACCCGCGAGCGCCCGAGCATGCCAGGGCGCTCGCCGGACAAGGGAATCCTCGAGCCGCCGACCCTCTCCGCGCCGTCGGAGGCGCGGCTGGGGAGTCCGAACCAAAACAGCGACGCGACGGACTGGGAGTCGGCTCCAGGGTGCTGGGCATACCGCATGCGTGCCCTGGCCATAGTGGCTCCCGACCATACCGTGATCGCTGATGTCGGCCGTGCCACTGATGATGTCGCGCTTGTTGCTGGCGTCGTGCTTGCCTACAGTGTCGTGCTTGGCACTGATGTCCTGCTTGCCACTGATGATTTCATGCTTATCTATCAAGGCATGATTGCCATTGGTGTCGCGCTTGTCATCGGCGTCGCGCTTGTCACCGATGATGGCGTGCTCATATGTGGAAGCGTGGCGGTCCATTATGCCGAGCGCGTCTCTGATGTAGTCGCGCTCGTCAACCAAGATGTGCACGCTGGCCTCGGAGAGCCCGCCTTGGGGGACCTCGCACTTGGACGCGAGCTCGTGCTTTACGATGACCTCCGAAGGCTCCGTAGGAGACCCCTTCCCCCTTGAGGGCCCATACGCGACGCCGAACTCTGCAGGGGCCCACCCCACACATAGGCGCGACCCAGTAGCCAGAGACAGGGCGGAGACACGCTGCACGAAGCCAGGCATCGCGCGAGAGCGGGCTTGCACGCGGGAAGAGGCGACGACGGCCGCGAGGGAATCTCCGAGCAACAGTATCTTTTCACCGTGATTGCTTGCGTTACGAAGGACATGACGAAGATGATAGCGGACGGCCCTGGCCTCAATCATCGGCATTGGCCCCGCGCGATCCCACTTCCACTTACCCGCGACCGTCCAGGACGATTGCTCCAAGAGGCTTTTGGGAATCTCCGGGAATTCTGCGAGATCTCGCCCCAGGGGCGGCCCGACCGGCGCGGACGCATGGCACTCAGCAGGCGGCTCGCAAGCGGCGAGGCCAGCGCCGCCCGAGGCAGGGTCTCCCACCTCGGCGGCGATGCCCTGGCCCAGCGCCCGCCAGCTGGCCGCCTGGGCGAGTCGGCGCGGAGGGGGCCTCTCAGCCCGCCCGAAGCGCCAACGCTCGCAGAAGCGGCCCACGGACCTCACTGCGCAGGCGGGCCAGGTCGCCCGGCACGCCCCCAAGCCCCAGGGCGAGGCGTCGACGGCCCCGACGCCCGCGGACTAGCCCGCGCGCAGGCCCCGCCAGAGCAGCGGCGCCAGCCCGTCCCGGGCCAGGGGCTCGGCGCGCACGGCCCTGGGCAAGGAAGGCCGCCTCCACGCGGCAGGACGCCCGCGCGAACCCAAGGCAGGCCTCGAAGAGAGAGAGAGAGAGAGAGAGAGAGAGAGAGAGAGAGAGAGAGGAGAGAGGGAGAGAGAGAGAGAGAGAGAGAGAGGGAACAAAAAAAAAAAAAAAAAAAAAAAAAAAAAACACGAGAGAGAGAGAGAGGATTTGAAGAGAGAAAAGAGAGAGAGAGAGAGAGAGAGAGAGAGAGGAAGAGAGAG